CGTAATAAGTTCTGCATTTCTGATACTTGAACTGACCTCAATAGCTATACACCCATCACTACAAATACAGCTGCTCAGGTGAATTGATCGAGTACCTCGATCGTTAGCAAGGGTCAAGGGATCAACAAGTGGCTGGTGGTCCTGCAGCAACACTTTGCAGTTTAAAGATGCGAAGCACACACCATATAATTTAACCAATCTATACAGGTTGTTCAGGGTTGATTGCGCCACCGCAGCATCGTCAGGAAGCAAGATGATATCGTCCGTATAATCAAGAGCAACCAGACATTCACCAGGCAGAGCACCACAACGACTGCATCGTGAGAATCCGTAAGGGGAACACTCCATGATGCAGTTCACGACCAAATTGAACAAAAGTGGAAAAATTGGACAACGTTGACGAACGCCACTTGTGGTCGGAAGGTTATGCGACAGGTCCTCGTAAACCCTGGCGCGGCCTGTAGTGTTCGAGTATAGAGTATGCGAAATGTGCACATATTTTAAGGGAACACCTTTCCGCGCAAGTATGATGAACAGAATGTATTGATAGACGGAATGGAACGCACTATTAAAATCGAAAAACATATTTTGGCCTGCAGTATGCATGGTGATGCGCTATCACCTGTCGCAAAGTGAATATGTGGTCTATATCGCACATACAGGTAGGAAAACTGCCTGCTGTTCACTAATCTGTGATTCTCGCTCCGCAGTGAGGCGACAAATGAGAACTGAGGAGAGTAATTTTGGCACTACGGATGTTAGGCTAATAAACCTGTGGTTAGCACAGTCGGTGCGACTGCGCTTCTTGTATATTGCCAGTATAATCGATTCACTCCAGCTGTCCGGGACGGCTTCCTCCTTCTATACATGTTCAAAAAGAGAGGTTAATGCTTTGCAGGGGATCTCATCTCCATTCTTACGTAGTGCAGGTGGCAGGGAATGCGGGCAAGCGGCACAAAAACGATTGAGGGCTGTGATCGCGTTTCGGATCTTGGCCTCCGACAGTGGCTGTAAACTAACCGTCCAAGGCTCATGCTGCATCCGCTGACTAGGAAGAGGTGCGGAAGCAGGAGTTCAACTAAACTGTTCTTGAATGTGTTCCGCCCAACGTGCAACACTGCGCTCTTTATTGTGAACCAGAGTATCCGCGCTGTCTCTGATTGTTTCACTGACACCTGGTTTCCCAGGACCAGTAGGACGGAGCAGCTGGAAGAGTTTGCGATAATTCCCTACTGCTCCCGCCTCCTTCATTTCTTGAGACCGACTGGTCCACCAGGCTTTCTTGTCAGCTCGCAGGGTCCGCTTTAGTTCGCGCCAAATAGTCCGTCTGGTCACATCGTACTCAGAGCCAGCCAGAAGGTTTCTTCTGGACTCCAAAAGGTTCACCGCGCTCTAGGACATCCAGTGAATAGTGCAGTGACGATTGATAGTACCACAAGCAGATGCCCCTGCGTCGTGCATGGCTGTAGAGATCCTATTCCACTGAAGCACAGTGTCATTAGGACAGGGGCGAAAGTTCGGTACGCAGTGCACCTTGGTAGACTTGTCTGACCGAAGGCTGAGATAACTTCTCAGTTGATAATCGGGGGATACGCTTTGTGCGCCTCGCAGTAAACCTCATGGAAAAGCGACAGCGTAGCAATGCATGATTAGAGTCGATGCATGCACACCAGAACGAGCGAGAATCCAGAATGGAACCACGCCACCTGTAACTTATGGCACCGAGATCTATTTAGGTTCATTGTTGACTAGCTGTAGGAAGACGCCAAGTGGCACTTCGGCGCCCAGTGCGTCTGGAGGCAGTGTTACTAAGAAACAACTGGTGCTCTGCATACAGTTGCAGCAGACGCTCGCCGTTGTCAGTCCCTTCGGAGTTAAGCCCGTAATTACCACCTAGCTGAGTTTCTGAAGAGCTCAGGCGACCTACTTTTGGATTCACACCCACAGTAACAGCAATATATGAAAATGGAAACAATGATAAGCAGCGTGTTCAGTGAGTGGGAGAATGTGTACTTGACAACATCAGAGCTGCAAGTGTTAGGAGCATACGCGGAAATCACACACAAACGAAGTCTTGTACTGCTTCGTGAATCAACTGTAGTTGATGTCGTCAAACGGGCCGCACACAAACGGCTGCTCACGGGAATCCAATCAATCAACAATGACTCAGCCTTAGAGCTAAGAACGATGCCTACTCCAGCCTAACTAGTGATTTCCGCATCAGCGTCTCCGGATGCGTGCAACCAATAGCGAGAGGACAAGTCGGATGCAGTTAATTTAACTACCCAGTGAGGGTCATTGATCACAGTTTTGGATACACAAGACATGCCAAAACCCTGTGTGTCCAAGGTGCACGCGAGCATAGTCTTTTGACCCATATGTCTTGAAGTAGGAAGTTGAACGACGCCAGGGAAACCAGACAGTGTGGCCCTATAAGGAACCGTTGCCGATAGGCATCCAGTGGGTGGTGCGGGAAGGTGGCTGCAGATGCTGACTCCAGTGTCATTACGGTTGCTGTCAATTTACCTATGAATTATATAAGGTTAGTAATGGGGTTGAGAGGAGAGTAACAGAACCAATTGGGAAAAAAGGGTGCTGGCAGTAGCATGTTTCCCATTATCCGCACTGTGGCAGATAAGGCAACCCTTGATAATCTGCGTGACGGCGGATGCAAGATATGGTTGAAGATTGAAGAAATAGTCATGCCTGTATGTGGACTGAGATAGTGCTGGGGCGCCCAGACCTAGACAGAAGGACGATTAGGGTCCTCAACCAAAGTCTCTGGCCCAAAAGCTTGTCCGCAAGGCAGCGGGGAAGTGGTAATGATTTAGTTTTGTAGAAATGGACGTCATCCCATTTTAAACCTCCAACTTAGAGGAAAAGGAGTCTGAGCTTGTCGGACCTCTAGCCACTGACCAACTTGGTAGGAGTAGCTCACAAACGGCTCATGAGCACCATGCAATATGGCTCAATGGGTCAAAGAGGTACGCAAACCGTCGCACCACGTTAAAGTCCAGTCTCGTTGCGACGGTAACTTACCACCTGAAGCATTCCGTGCGGTATGAGCTGTTTGTACGAGTGTCGGCAGCCCCAGCGTGTGCCACATGTCGCTAGAGATCAGTAGTATCAAAAGCAGTATCAAGTTGTAACTTGACTTGCCTGCCATTGATTTCCACCATGGTGTACTTACGCCTGTTGGCGCCATCAACCTAGAAAGTCGCGGTAATCGTTCTGATCCCATCGGATCGTCTGAACGGTGTAGCATTGTTGTGCCTCTTCCTCGCCAAAATAGGACCACAAGCCAAGCAACACGACTCTTTATGACCTCAGTGGCTGCATCGATTGCAAACGTTATTCCTGAATGGACAATGTGTAGCAAAATGCCATGCTCGACAAAAGCAGTCAGCTGAGGTTTGAAATGTGATGAACTCAAGTGAGCTGTCGCTTTTTGGAGGGTCCGTTTGACTGCACAAAGGAGGTCATGCTCGTTCGTATCGGACAACTGCTGAAGCATTGATGTATCATGCTTCAGTTTCGCCATTTGTTGGCACTCAACGGTCATTTGCTACTATGTGAGGTCAGGATTCTGTTTAATCTTGCGCAGTGTTCTTGTTCGTATGTTTGCATCTTTGGCTGCTTGTAGGCCGCAAACGTAAATTAGACACAAGTATTGGTCGGCGATCATTTCGTGAAACTGTGAACGTTGATACTTACGATTTACACGGATTGAGGTGACCCAATTTTCATCTTCTTTCTTGGCCATCGTGACACTTGTACGGGATGTTGAACAGAGATGTCTGGTCAACAAAAATTTGTGACAGGACTGAGACAACTTCATCAAGGAATAAGTCAGTGGTCGTTTTTAGCAAAATGAAATTTGTAAACATTTCATGTACAGCCGCACCCCGCTTAAAGAGCATCAGGCGAAATTTCTCTTTTCTGGGACATTTGTGAAATCAACACGAAACATATCTTCATACTTGTGAAACCAAGAAGCGAATGTTACGCCAGCGTCTGCATCATAATGGAATCCCCTGATCTGATGTGTCAGAGTTTCTGGAAAGTGGACACTCACTTGCCCCTAACGCTAGGCTTGACTGTACCGATAGTTTCTGCGTCCTCTCAATTACGTTGGGCTGTGACCTTTCGAACTGCTTTTGCTGAAAAAAGCCTGCAACTGTTCCAAGCTGACTGCCATTACTGGGTTCGATTGAAACTGTTGTCACCACTGTTATAACGATGTCCTCGCCCATGCTCTCTGCGCTGCCAACCCAGCCGGGGAACAAGCAAAATACCGAGGTCTGCTAGACCGAAGTGTATTAGGAATAGAACACGATTAATGTTATAAGTCACATGCTATCATCTCCGGCTGCACGTTTCTGAGCTGATTTACGCCACTTGTTTGAACAGATTCCAAACCTACTAGCGATCCGCACTGGCCAGCTGTAGTCGCTTGTCGCGTATAAACCTGGGTCATGACTGCTTTAGCTTCACGCGTGACTTAACCGCGCTACCGCCGGCAGGGTAGCAACCAGTCATGATGATGGATTGACTTCATCAGCATTCTGCGTGACTTGACGCAGGCCCACTTTACATCTAGAAACCGTGTGACGTTCTTAGGTTGCGGCCACTGAATAAATAATAAGAGTAGAACGGCTTAAGTGGAAAACGCATCAAAACAATGGGAAAGAATAGTTAAGAGTTAAAAACGAACGGATGAATGAAAGAACACCACGACTTGATGAGTAGGACGCATTTGGTAGAATAATGAAGCAATGCTGTGGCTGGTGGTCCCCACCAGTATCACACCTCATTACATAGGATTCACACCGCATTGGACTGGATAAAAAAGTAGACACTAATTTTGCTCGCAGCAAGACTGTAGTGACGTAAAAGAATGCATTAGTAAGGGTAGCAAATAAAGCAGGTAGAGAGCTGACGTTAATACGAAAAGTATGGCTACAGATGGCCGATAATGGCAATGGAGAAACGATACTCACTTGATGAGATCTGCCCCCCATGAATCCATAATATCTTGTAGGGTGGGAGCGGAAATTCGGCGAAACGTTATACCCGCACGTTGTTCTATCGATGTAAGAAGTCCTTTTTCGAGAGCAGTGTAAAACAAAATAGATGTCCCGGAACGATCTGCACGTCCGGTACGGCCGGATCTATGAACGTACGCCTCAACATCAGCAGGTGGCTGGCACTGTATGACCAAGTCGATATCGGGAACATCTAATCCGCGAGCAGCTAAATTAGTCGTTATCAGTGTATGGTATTTTCCTTCGCGAAATTTCTGTCAGAAGCAAAAAATACACCGTAATCCAAAATGTTGTTGGCAGAAAAATAGGTAAGTATTAAGCGGGAAATGGAGCCCGAGGTCCAGAGGTTGAAAGTCAGACGCTTGAACCACTGTACCGCGGACCATGGAAACTGACAGCTAGAAAGTACGTAGGCTCATTTGAGACAAAAAGCTCGTTACGCAGCATGCATTCTACAATTACAAAGGCACCCGAATACATGAGTGCGGAAGCAAGAGAGAGTTAACAGAAACATCTCCAGAGGAAACATTTAATGGGCATGGAGACGGTATGGAAGGTGTACTCACCTCAAGGATTTGCTCCCGCTGGTCTTGTGAAATGTCCCCATGAAACACGTGACAATCAGCACCTAGAGCAGCATGCGCAGCAAGCTCATCGGCTTCCTTCTTGCGCTCACAAAACACGATGCAGCGCGACGTTTTTCGGTTGCAGTACAAGCGAATCACATCGGACAAGGTGGTGGCTCGGTCGGAATAATTACAGGGAAGAGCGAGATGCTGAATGAAGGATGGAACCCATGAAGCCTGAAGAACAAAAGTACCGTCACGTTTAAAGCCGTTTTATTCTCTTGTTCACCAACTAAAGATAGGCGAAAGGCGTTCTCCGACAAGTAGTCACGGGCGATAGTTGAAACCCATGGCGGCATTGTGGCCGAAAAAAGAAGGGTTTGTGGCTTTTTAGTGGTAGAGATTCCATCCTGGTTCTCTTCTATGTACAAATGCGATATAATAGAGCAAACATCTTTGCTAAATCCCATGTCCAACATCCGGTCGACCTCGTCCAAGACAACATGATTTACACAACTGAGGTCAAGAGCGCCTCGGTTGGTAAGATCAATTATCCGACCAGGCGTTCCAATCAGTACGTCAACACCATTTCGAAGTGATGAACCTACGAAAAAATGTGTACTTGTAGATAAGACTAACATTGACGGCCGATGGGCACTCCTCCATAAACAGAAAGGATAGATAAATCGTCCTCGCAAAGTGACTGAAAGTCCGTGGTGATCTGCACCACTAATTCCCTTGTGGGAGCTAGCACCAAAACAACTGGTTTCCGAAACCTTTGGCGTGTAATCTTCGATTTCAACAGAATCTGGACAATAGGAAGGGAGAAGGCCAATGTTTTTCCCGTTCCAGTTCCTAGAAGATAAATCGTGACATTGTGAGTCCTACTTGCAAGTACCACGGCATCGTTGCCATTGTATATGGAGTCGAATGTTTTATATTGCACGGGATAAAGTTTCAAAATTCCTCTTTTTCGAAGACGTTTAACCAGCTTCTTGGAAATCTTGTAGCGCGAAAATTCACCTTCTTCGGAGTTTTCCGTATCCAAAGTTACAGACATACTTTGGACTGTTGAGAAGCTGGTAAGTAAAAACTCCGCAATGAAGACCAAGTTTAAAATAAGCAACATGTTAAAACACGCCCTTAGTTGGGAAAATAAACGGTGTCGTAAAGGAAATGGACTAATCAGAGGAAGGAAAAAGAGAGAATAGGTATACCTCAGTCACCAAACCAAACATGCACGAGTTAACGAACATGTGAGTGTAAGATGTTAGTCCTGACAAGTGTGTTCCATTTCACGCAGCTTGCCGGCTTTATCAATACATCTGTTTCGATCATATTGGATTTCAGACACAGCTGCTTTAGGTCTTCTTAGTTAATTTGGCCACCCTATATAGAATTCGCAACGGAACGATTCACTACCAAATGATCACAAGATCATGACTCTAAATAAAAATGTTACCCAACCAAAAAATAGTTAAAATACCGATCAGAACTACTCTAACGGTAATTAATTACCCCCGCTCTATAAGACCGCCAAGTATCCAAATAACACAGATAAACCGAAATATGCAAAATCACAGGAGAAAGTTTGAAGAAAGAGCACTTCAAAAAACTGAAATGTACTGATTGATCCCGGGTGAGCAAGTGTAGTAATGTGTGCCCGTACTAGCAAGATAACAAAACTAAGCCGTAAGGTGGGAGAAATTAAAATTCATGTTGATCATGACGCCTAGAGGAAATCCAATACAAATAGATGAAAGTACTGTGAAAGATGATACCTATGCTTTGTCACTGAAAGACAGCGACAATTTGCCGAACAATCTCCTCATGCTGCCAGCTGTGTGGTTCGGGTTTATACCGTTCCAGCAAACAGTTCGGTGGCAGTGTTCCAGGAGGTGGTGAGTTTTTACTTGGCGAGAGTTCTCCCTATATAAAATCACACGTCCGTTTAACAACACTGCGACGTGGCGGACGTGACTCGCCACTAAATAAATTCACTGTCCTTTCGTTCACTCCGGTGGAGCATTGTATCCAACAACGCGAAGCTCGAACTGTGGGGAGGATTGGGCCCCTGTTTGTCAACCGACCAAACGAAAGGTGTATGAACTGAGCAATCAATCACCGAGCTCCCAATAGGCGCGATGCCCTGAATTCGCTCCACTGTCTTGCGTGCAGGCTATTCAACCAAAGGCTCGTGGTGGTGTCCTCTAAGTCAAGACACTACTTCGGCTTGGGCAACCGGGTAGTATCTCGCCCTTTGACCAAAGCATGGATTTCCGTGTTGTGTTTGATTTTCTTTTTATGACAGCTGTGTCTTCCTTTGATTGCTGTGGTTTTCAATGGCTGTCTACTCGTAGACTGATGCATATATATATATATATATATATATATATATATATATATATATATATATATATATATATATATCCTCTCGTTATTGGTTGCACGCATCCGGGGACGCCGATGCAGCAGTCACGGGTCAAGCTGGAGTAGGTATCATTCTCAGCTCCAAGGCTGAGTCATCGCTGATTGATTGGATTCCGGTGAACAGCCGTTTATGTGCAGCCCGTTTGACGACATCAGCTAAGGTGAATTCGCGAAGTAAAACAAAACGCTGTTTGTTTGTGATTTGTGCTTATGCTCCCACGGACTGCAGTTCTAATGCAGTCAAGGACACTTTCTATCACGAACTGAACACACTGCTACGCAGTGCTACTAGTTCAGATATTATAGTACTTGCAGGGGATATGAACACAGAAGTACGGTGTCTGAGCTCTTCAGAAGCTCAGCTGGGTGGTAAGTATGGACTTAACGCCGAACGGACTGACAACGGTGAGCGTCTGCTGCAACTGTGTGCGGAGCACCAGTTGTTTCTTACTAGCACTGCTTGTAGACACAGTCGGCGCCAAAGTGCCACTTGGCGTCCACCTGTAGCTGGCCAGCGATGGACCCAAATTGACCACATAGCCACAAGTTACAGGTGGCGCGGTTCCATTCTGGATTGCCGCTCGTACTGGATTACCTGTGTCGACTCTGACCATGCCTTGGTGCGCTGCCGTTTCTCCATGAACTTTACCGGAAGGCGCACAAAGCGTCTCCCCGGATTGGCAACGGAGAAATTGTCCCAGCCCTCTGTCAGGCAAGCCTATCAAGAAGCACTGCATACCGAACTCTCGCTGTCTTGTCCTAATGACACTGAACTTCAGTGAAATAGGATTTCGGTCACTATGCACGACGCAGGAGCATCTGTTTGTAGCACTATCAGTCGTCATCGCACCAGTCACTGGATATCCGAGAGGTCCGTGAATCTTTTGGAAGCTAGAAGGCACATCCCGGATGGTTCTGAACACAATGTGACCAGACGGACTATTAGGCGTGAACTAAAGCGGAGCCTACGTGTTGACAAGGAAGCCTGGTGGACCGGTACGGTTCAATAAATGGAGGAGGCAGGAGCAGTAGGCAATTACCGCAAGCTCTTCCAGCTAATACGCACCACTGGTCCGAGAAAACCAGGCGTCAGTGAGACAATCAGGGACAGCGCGGGTGCGCTGATACAAAATAAGGAGCGCAGTATGGCTCGTTGGGCTGAGCACTTTGAACATCAGTTCAGCTGGCCCCTTGCTCCCGGACCTCTTCCTACTCAGGTGATGCAGGACGAGCCATGGACGGTTAGTTTAGAGCCTCCGTCAGAGGCCGAGGTCCGAGACACGATCACAGCCCTCAATCGTTTTCGTGCCGCTGGCCCGGATTCCCTCCCACCTGCACTATTTAAGGATGGAGGTGAGGTCCTCTGCAAAGCACTGACCTCCCTATTCGAACGTATCTGGAACGAAGAGTGTGCCGGCTAATTGCAGCGAATCGATTATAGTGGCAATATACAAAAAGGGCAGTCGCACAGACTGTGCGAACCACAGGGGTATTAGCCTAACGCCAGTTGTGACAAAATTACTGGCCTCGATTATCATTCGTCGCCTCACTGCAGAACGGGAATCTCGGATTAGGCAAGAGCAGGCCGGTTTTCGCCCAGGACGTGGCTGTATAGACCATATATTTACTTTGCGGCAGGTGCTAGAGCAGCGCCACGCATACCGTAGACCGACAATAGCTGTGTTCCCCGATTTCAAAAGTGCATTCGATTCAGTCGATCGGTCGATTATGTTCGAAATACTTGCGCGGAAAGGTGTTCCCACGAAATATGTGAACATCCTTCGTGCTCTGTACTCGAACACTAGAGGATGCGTCAGGGTCTATGGTGCCCTATCGGATAGCTTTTCGACTACAAGTGGCGTTCGACAGAGTTGCCCGATTTCCCCGTTTTTGTTCAATTTCGTCGTGGATTCTATCATGGAGTGTTCCCTTGCGGAATCGCACGATGTAGGCGTTGAAGTGCTGCCTGGTGAAAGGTTAGTTGGTCTAGATTATGCAGACGATATCGTCTTGCTTTTCGACAATGTTGAGGCGGCACAATCAACCCTGAATAGCCTATCCAGAGTGGTCCCATTATTTGGTATGCACTTCGCACATTCAAAGTGCAAAGTGTTGCCGCAGGACCACCAGCCACTCGATGACAGTTTGACGCTTTCTAACGAGGAACTCGAGGTGTTTGATCAATTCACTTATCTTGGCAGCTGCATCAGCAATGATGGGCGCATAGAAACTGACGTGAGCTCACGCATTGCAAAGGCCAGAGCTGCCTTCTTGAACCTGCGTCATCTTTGGTGACAGAAAGGAGTTTACCTCTGTCTGAAAGGCCGTGTATACAAGGCCACAGTGAGGGCCGTTTTGCTCTATGGTAGTGAAACTTGGCCCCTTCGGTCTGAAGATCTGAGGCGCCTTCAAGTCTTTGATCATCGTTGTTTGCGAAACATTGCTGGTGTCGGATGGCGCCAGCGTGTCCGCAACCATGATGTGCGTAGGCGAGTACTAGGTGGTGATGATCATGCTAGCTCCCTAGAGCAACAGATAGCACTGAATAAGTTGCGTTGGGTCGGGCACGTGCTACGCATGCCTGGTCACCGCTTACCCAGGAGGGCCTTGTTCAGTCTACCAGGTGTAGGATGGCGCAAGGCTCGAGGTGGACAGAAGTTGACTTGGCAGCTGGAAACGAAGTCACTGACGACCAAACTGGGTGCCGTTGGTCCGTCTCGCCTTCCGGGTTGGAGTCCACGTGACTCACCTTGTGCTTGACTCGAGACTTTACAGGGCATGGCTCGAATTTGACACCAGTGGCGCGTCTGCTGCCGTCTCCTAATCGGATTGTCTGTTTAAAGTGTGTTTGGTGCTGAGTTATCTGCGGGGTAATGGCTGATTATGACGCGTGGCAGTGAAAGCCGCAAGGAAGCTGTCTCGCCGATGCCGCCTTATCTTTACACGATAGCCAGCTGTTTGTGACGGAATGTTGTCTACACAAGGTGTAGGCCCCTTGACCCTGAATGTTTGCTTAGGACATTAAGGTTTCCAGGTAAGTCCCCCTTCTCTCCCTCTTCTTATTCTTTATTTCATAGGTCCTCATGGTTGTATGGCAGCGAAGCATCAGTTCAAATGGCTGATGTGCTGCTGTTGATGATGATGATCCCCATCTTAAAGGGCAGCGGTAATGATGGCGTCTCCAGCGTACATGAGTCGCGTTAACCCCTGGATACCAAGCTGTTGCTGCTTACAATATTCCACACTCGTTCGTACATTGGGTTGAACAATTGGGTGTAGTGATCAACAATTATCCCTGCAGTTCATGTACTCTACAACCCTTCCTCGCTTTGGAATGCAGTGTGGAAATTCGGTGTTTAAGACCCAACAACTTTGTTGCAAGTGTCCACACCTTGGCTCGTCCGTGTAAGCTGAATAATCCCGACAAGTCACTGACTAGCGATAAACATGTTGATGTTGATGCCACATGTTCTGTTTCATATATTAGTCACACGAATGAGTGTAGCTAATATTTCCAGCTGTACATCGCTCATACTGAAGTTAGGATAAATCAGCTATTATCGAGATAAGGTGCGGAGAGCAAACGTTCCTTCTACAATTTAAACTAGAAATGACCAATCATCTAGATTGACTTAAAAGTAGATTAGTCCAACTGTGGTGGTACGGTAGTGTTTAAATAAATATTTAATTGGAAAATAA